CACACACGCCACCCGCGCCCCCATCCTTCTTTTTTTAAAAAAAAATTGTCTTTAAAATCTTTTTTTAGATATCAATTTTTAAATATTCACGGAAAATGTTTTTTTGGGGGGGAGGGGTGGGTGGGGGGAATTCTTCGTACCAAACAATGGAAAATATGATGCCAAACCATTTTTCTCTCGAAAATAATTTATGTGAAAATATTCCCCCCTCATCCCCAACCAAATTGACTCTAATTCTAGTTGAAATTTCCAAAAGTAGGGAGTTATGGCATAATAATTACCGAGCATATATTCGTTCAATTTGAATTTTTCGATTTAAACTAAATAAACTTTAATCAATAATTAAATATAATTGTATCGTAATATTAGTACAAAAATGCTTTTATTACATTTAACATGCAAAAAAGTTGGGAATTTAATTTATTTTATTTATATACAATGAAGATTTAACGTAATCAATGATTAAAATTCGTGATGTTTAATTAAGAAAAAAGTCAAATCAGACGAATACCCTGAGAGGTAGCGTATATATATATGGAGACACTAATTAATTTGCTGAGAAGGGGGGGAGGGGTATGATTTATTTAATTCTTTAAAAAATGGGGGGGACATAATTGATTTGTTGAATAAAGAATGAAACCCATTGTACGGTTTGTGTGAGGAAATGCGTATAAAAGGGACGAATGGCGAGAGGTTTCCAATATATATTCAATTGAAAAAACACATGCGTGAGGTGTGTGAGAGCCAAATTGAGTTTGTTGCACCAAGGAGTTGAAGAAGCTAACAGCCTGCACATGCTTCATGCACGCCACACTTTTACTCTATCCTAGTTAATTAATTAAGGTACATTACATAACATATCATTATGTATTCTTTTTTATATATATATAAAATACATGTACTTGTTAAAAACTCAGTATTTTCGTACTAAATATCGAATAAATATATGTAAAGTCAAGCAAAAATTGTTCTGAACAGAAATTTTGTCGTTAAATAGACATCAATTGTACACATACGATACATATCGAGTGTTATGTACACTTGATATATCTTCATTTAATGGCAAATTTCTATGCATAACAACTTCATCTTGACTTTACATATTTTTATTTGGTATCGAAATAAAAGATATTAGATTTTCAGCAAAATATTTTATTAGTTCAACCTGAAAACGACCGAACCCAAAAATAGCATGTATCAAAGAGTACAGAACGAGAATCCGATCTGACAAATCTGTTTGCCAACTATAGACTTAATCGCTATTCTTGAAATGGGAAAATGATATTCGCACTCCAATTTTTGATATTGATCATTCAAAATGCACTATTGAGTCTCTCACATGAATAGTATATCTTGGAGGGTCGATAGCAAAAAGTGGAGTGTTGATATCATTTCTCCTTCAAATAATGCTTGTGCCAAAATGGTACTCGTATTACATAACAACATCGTGTTTATACAAGACAACTATCATTATGAATTTCTTAATATACTAGAAAATAAATGAATGTGAATATACATTATGTCTGTATTCATTTATTTTTTTAATGTATAAAGAAAATCATAATAATCATTTAAAAAGAAATGGAAGGAGTATTAGAATTATTGCAATTAGTGTGTCCGAATAACACCATTTGTAATTAGTCAAACATCTATTATTCTTTTTGTAAATTAAAGGAAACGTGTAGAGAGTATTACCCTATCATTTTCTCTACGTTTTCCTTTTGATTAGATAATTCAATTGGAGTTTAAAGGTTAGAATTAGCAATAAAAAACTATCTACACAACAGTATTTAACCTCCGCGTTTTTAGAATTAATTTTTATCATTAAAATTTTATCGCTAAAATTAACTAAAAAAATTTGCAAACAAGGTCAATCACATGATATGAAATTTGACTATCCCTCGCAATAGTGTGGAGTTGACTTTGTTGTGGTTACCGGTGTACATTCAAGCAATTTTAAGGGAGGCTATGACAATTAGGATTTTT